CTCCTTCTCTCTCTCTCTCTCCCTCTCTCTCTCTCTTTTTTTCTTGCACACAAAAAAAAAAAAAAAAAAAAAAAGCCATGACTGCTATCCCACAATTCATCTTCCCTGCGCCATCTTTGTATTATTTCTAATTTATTTTGGATGTCAAAAGACATTGATGAAGATATTTTCTCTGGAGTCTCCTTCCTTTCTCACCCGGCTCTCCCGATGTGAACCGAGCGGCTCACAAGCCACCGCAGCCACCAACCCACCATGTCTCGCCGCAAGCAAGGCAAACCCCAGCACTTAAGCAAGCGGGAATTTTCGCGTAAGTAACCCAAAGAGCAACGTGCATTTATTTCATGCCTCCTTCGCGCGGGTTATTTTATTTCGGAGAAGCGGAGAAAGCGGGCGAGAGGGGTGGAAATGCACTAAACCTTGGCTCGGAATTTCCCCCCCTCTCCGTCTCTCTCTAATTAAATCACCTCGATCACTTTTCTTTTCTTTGCTCCTGGAGCATGCCCCCTTCTCACTCACTCTCTCTTCCTTCTTTTCTTTTTCACCGCCCCCCGCTTTGATTTTATTTTATTTTTTAAATTGTGCCATTGTGACTTGGGAAAACAGCAACACTCCCAGTTTGCAGCGAGGTGCAGAATTTGTTCTTGCGGTGGGGGGAAGGGGGGAAGTGCAAAGAAATCCCCGCAGGAGAGACAGACTGGACATTGGACGCACAGACAGACAGACAAGAGATTATGGTCAACTGGAGTGAGAAGAAAAGTCTAGGGGCGAGTGGTTTTAGCCAGATCCCCATCTCTCCCGAGCGAAACCTTGTTGCGTACCGGCGGGGGGGCAGGGCAATGTCCCCCCTTTTGTTTCCGCTCCCAGACATGGGGTGTTTGTCCCGCTCTCTCCTGCTCCTCTTTTCCCTCCGCGGCGAAAGGGCAAAAGGGGCAGCAGCGGCTGCTTGTGCTGTCCGGAGCCATCGTTGGCTTTCCCCGGGGCTCCGCCACAATCGGACCTTCCCCCAGCCAACCGACTCATGCCAGCCTTCCCCCCACTCCTCCCCTCCTCCCTCTCCCCCCAACTCCTGCCTGCAAACTTGGGCTGCTTGGCTCGGCTGCACGGAGCAGAGCGAGCGAGCGAGAGGAATTCCCTCCTCTCTTGCTTACTATTTTTTGGAAGATTTTCAAAAAAAGTGGAAGTGGATTTTGATTGGGAAAAATCTCGTGTCTGAATGTTTACAAGCACCGCGTGTGCGGGGAGCCTCCTGCCAACAAGCAGAGACAAGAGCAAACCCAAGCAAAGCACACACACATACATACACACACACACACAGAAAAACAAACCCCCAAACCCAACCAACTATCGTCACTGTCACGATCAAATTAAAAAAAAATACATTCCCGGGGACATTTAAAAAAAATACTATTCGTCACAAAAATCCTCCCACTCTTCCACCCCCCCCCCAACAAAACACAAAAGCTGGATGCAAGGTAAGCAAGGTCGCTGCATACACAACAAAAGGGAACTCGGATCTGGAGCGGGTGGGAGGGAAGAAGAGGGAAAATATTTTATTTTTTGGGCGGTTGGAAAGCAAAAAGATGCACGTTTGTATTTTATTTCCCCCAGTATTCCAGGTGTTTTTCTCCCCTCCTAGGGACCGTCTGCTTCAGTGCAATTTCGCTGTCTGCAAACAACCTCCCCCTCCTCTCTCTCTCTCTGTAAAAGTTTACAATGCAATTTCCCCACTCAGATGCATAGATATTTGGAACAAGATTTGCACATAGTCCGTTGGAGAATGTTAACGCTTTGGATAAAACAGCTCCTGTAAAGCCAGGGGAAGCCAAAATATTTGCATTCGTAAAGTTTTCTTTAAAGTAAGACTCCTTTACGGTTCTCTTCTCTCCACCCCTCATTGTTTTAGTCATTTGCTACCAGTTCTAAGGACTTTTTGAAATGCAAAACGTTGTGTTATGTTATGTATTGCAACATAACTGTCACATTTCTGGAGGTGCTATCTCTTCCAGAACATGCTGCAGGAACCCACCCCCCTCCGCCCCATTCCTCCGCGAGCTGCCGAAACTGGTGCCGACACTAGTAACCTATGTTACTTTAAATATATATATATATATATACCAGACTGCATTCATCCTTAGGGTTTGTGTGCGCGCGTGTGTTAGACTCACTTGTCACAGAATAATTGAAAGATTAGATTTACATCCCCAAATCCTTCCCCAGTCGTGCTAGGTTTCCCCCTGACTTGGCAATTCCGTATGTAATATACAGGTACATATTTAAGTTATTAATTTTTTTTGCTGGCAGTGTAATTGCCATTTGGTATATTTCTCCCTTTGAGATGTGGGAGGCTTAGAGGGGGGGCGAGATGTGTGTGGAGTTGGATTTTAAAAAATTGGTTAAGGATAGGTTTGCATGTGAGTTTCAGTCGCTAGGAGGCAGAACAAGATCAAAAAAGCACAACGAACTTGAACCTGATCAGTTTCACCACGTCTTTAATTCTCGGCATTTTCGTTTAGGAAGGAGGGAGGGCGGGTTTTCTTTCTTTCTTTCTTCCCCCCTTTCCCCTTTCTTTCTCCCCCTCCCCCTTTCTTTGTTCTTAATTTTGCCTTGTTTTATGGCTGGTAAGGAAACAGGAACGCAGCCCGTAGACCCCACACTGGAGAAAAGACCCAGTAATGTTTGTTTTAACGCCGTCCCAGTCCGTTCAGAGCAGCAAACGATTTCCGAGGATCGCGAGGACTAGCAAGTTGGCCCTTCATTTCCCCTCACTCACCCGACGGCCGATCAAACCGTGGGGGTCACAGAGGGGCTTGGGAGCCTTTCCAGGCGGCGCTGGGCTGGCTGGGATCCCTTCCGTCTAGTCGTAGCTTTGCACGATGCTGTGGCACATGGAAAGCAAAAGACCCCCCTCCCCCCAAAAAAAGCTTGAAACACTCTTTCGAAGGGGGAAGCCTAGGGTCTCCGGGGGAGTCGAGTGGCACCTTCTCTTCGGTGACTTTGTGTTTGTTTTGCTTACTTGGACACATCTGCTTTTGTTCTCTTCCCCCCCCCCAAAAAAAAAACACCGGATCGGGTCATTTAAACTCTCGCTACAGGCCCATCCGAGGCAAAGGCAATCCTCGTGAGCAGGGGGGTTGGGGTGGAGAAGCGGGAGCCGAGCTGAGCTCGGCCCCAGCCGAAAAGGGAGAAGGCACCTTGCTGGCTCGCACGTGTTTGCACTAGGCTTCCGATCCACGCTGCTCCCATTGTGCCGCTTGCTCAGTCCTTTCCAAGTTCGCTCTCCCCTGTTTTTCTTTCCTTCCTTCCCTCACCGCGCTCCCGCTTTCTGTTTTAAAACACCGACCACTAGCCCACATTATTAGCCATCATTTGTTCACTTAGACTGTAAGACAATCCCACACTTGAAGGCAAACTTGGACTAGACAGTCACTCTCTCTTTCTCCCCTGATTTTCTTTTTTGTCTTCTCAGCTGGACACAGCCCTGTCTGCTGCTGGGGTATTTAGACGTCTCTGTCTTGCTGAATCCATACTGATACAGCCCCCCCCCACCCCCAACGCAGAACTGGTGCTTTTTCTTCCATTGCGTCCCTCACACTTCTTTTGAGACAAAAATCCATTTAACTTGATATAGAAGATGGTGTTATTTTGGTGGATGTTGGTGGGGAATGGGGGAAGGGGGAGAGAGAGGCTAGAAATACATGCATCTGAAGAAGTGGGTTTTTTACCCACAAAAGCTTATGCCCAAATAAATCTGCTAATCTTTAATGTGCCACCAGACTCCTCGTTGTTTTTGTAGAAATACATGTTTATGGAAGAGCAAATTCCATTAAAAAATATAGACAAATGATTAGATACCCAGGAAGGAGCTTTTGATTGCCCCCAAATTAAAAAGATGTATACTGCAAATCAGTGGCAAGATTTTTTTTTAAAACAGCAGAAATAATAAAAACACATTTTGCTGTCTCTCAGAGCATCAGGAGCCAAATGTTTTGTACTGAACACGGTGCCAGAGGTATTTCATACATTAGTATATAATTCTTGTTAATTAGCAATAATTTACCTTAAGAGCATAGAAAATGTTGAGGTTACAGGTTTTATATCTGTACATTTGATCATCTTGTTATTTTCGAGAACTTTGCCTCCTATAAAATTAATTAGGTGAAATGTGGAGGTGTAATCAGCAACCTCTGAATTACCACTTCATTTCCTGGTTTTGATTGTAAATCAGCCCAGTCAGTACAGTCTTTAGCAAAGTCTATTTTTGTTTAGCATTACTTTTAACTCTCTGGTATCTGAGCACAATATTCTCTTTCATTGCTGAGTAATATTGACAATTTCAGAAAAAAATCAGGCCAAGGAATAAATATTACAATTGAGTAATTATTGTGCAAAGTTCCAGTCAAAACAGTTATAAGGAGAATATCAATTTTTAAAAATATTTTGCTACTTTGAGTGATTAAACTAAAAGTTACAATTACTGCTTAACACAAAAATACCTTTTTTTTGTAGAAAGGATCTGATGGAATGACTTCCATATTCAGTTACTCACTTTGTGCAAATGCAAACAGTTGTTACTTGAGAAAATGACATAGACATTTCAGAAACATTCCTGTTTCTTTTTCTATGCCAGAAAAGTGTAAATGCATGTTGTGTATTATCTTTTGGTCAGTAAGTTTAGAAGAAAACCCAAATGATTAAGATATTGTTTTTATTAATATGAATATAACCTTCATATTCCTGTAGTTGACCTTATGTTAAATTAGGAGTAGCACTAGAGGCAAGAAATTATGGAATGTATCAGTGTGTCCTACTTGGAGCTAAGGTACGGTAAGGTGCTCTTTCAATATTATTTTACACAGCACAACTGGGAGCTACTCCAGATCTTCCTCCTCAATATTCAGCCTAGGTAGGGTTGAAATAAATTTAACCTGAGTTCACTGGATTTTTGCACTTTATCAAAATCTGTTCCAATATTCTGCAGTCAAATTAAAATCTATTTTTTGATTCTCTGTGGCTTTAAGTTCATTAAATGTGAAATTGGCAGCTTGCTAAAGAAGGTCAGACTGATTAACTGTTTAAGAGTTGTAGTGGGTCTCACTTTCATTAACTGGCAACATTTTGAGGCATTTTATGTTTTGTAGTTTCAGCTCATTTTGGTTGTTGTTGTTGTTGTTGTTAGTATATGTATTATGTTGCATAGGGAGAGAAATACCAACAGTTTTTTTTTCTTGCAAGGATATAGTGATGAATACTGCATACATATTGCCAAGATATTTAAGTACAAAGTTAACAAAAGCAAACAGAAAAGAAAGGCATGTCTGCCTTGTTATACAATCCACTGACGACTATGTGTGTAGAAATAGTCTCATAATGAAGCTTTTTGGAGCTCATTCAGAAAATTAGTCAACTCTGACAACATTAGGCAAGGTATTTCAAGTTTAAAGAAAGGTCTTTTCACCGTTGTTATGAAATGTGGCATTCAGTTGACCATACTGATTTATGTATGATGAAGACCACAATTGCTAACATATTTAGAATAATTTAGGCATTCCTTTCTTCAGAATGAAAAAAACAAACCAAAAAAACCCAATTGGCTTATTTTCTTAATTATGCAAAAGTATCCTGTTTAGTTAATATGTCTAAGTAGAATTGCCAGTGAATTTGATATTTCTTTAATTTCTGGAAAGTATTGCTATTTAGCTTCCTTATTTATTAATTTTGTCTTTTTTCCCATGATTAGTTCACATGTTTTCAATTTTTAAACGGAATATATAATATACATATATAATCATACGTACATACACATATAGTACAGGGCTATGTAGCCCCTGTGTGTGTGTATGTGTCCACGACCTATGTGGCTTTTCACGTGTATGTTCATATATTTGCATGCACACACGCACACACACACACACCTAACTCACAGTTCAACGTTTCAAAACGTATGACTTGGTCATCGATATATTGCTATTACATGACCAAGTCATACATTACACATGCGCGCCTGCATGTGCACGCGCACACACACACACACACACAAATGCGCACACACACACACACATGTAAAGCTTCACTCATAAATACATAAACATAAATAAAACCTCTGGCAACAAAGAACAGTATTGGCTTTTCTTCATGATACCACAGTTGTCTCACAATAATTTTTTTCACAGCTGTTATTTTAATTTTTACTATTAAATCGTTCCTTCAAATTAGAACTTTGTCTAAATCCAGGAATATAGATAAGATTGCAGGTTCCATTCTGACAGTTCTACATATTACAGCTGCTTTCTCAAAATATATTCCCTATCAACACCGATAACTACATTTGCTTCTTGTTTGTCTGATAACGTGCTATCTGTTCATGTAGTGCAGGTTTAATTTTTTCATCCTATAATTATTCCAAACATGGTATGGCATCCATGAACAGGGGGCTCAACAACATGATTTTCTCTCTCCCCACCTTCCCCTTCTTTTCACAAGAGCTCTAATGATTCTCCTTTTGTTTCTTAAACTGCAGCTGAACCTCTTGAAGCCATTCTTACTGATGATGAACCAGAGCATGGCACGTTGGGAGCTCCAGAAGGGGATCATGACCTCCTTACTTGTGGCCAGTGTCAGATGAACTTCCCATTGGGGGACATTCTTATTTTTATTGAGCACAAACGGAAACAATGCAATGGCAGTCTCTGCTTAGAGAAGGCTGTGGATAAGCCACCTTCACCCTCACCAAGTGAGCTGAAAAAAGCATCCAATCCTGTGGAGGTTGGCATCCAGGTCACACCAGAGGATGACGATTGTTTATCAACGTCATCTAGAGGAATCTGCCCTAAACAGGAACATATAGCAGGTAAATTGAAGCAAGGAGAAGCATTTACAAGTTTATTTCCATGTTCAGTCAAACTGTAGTAATAATGCTCACAGTTGTGAAGTGCTGTGTCTGTTTTTCCGTTCTATTCACCATGACAGCCAACATGTTAAATACCCTGCATTTCAGTTCATATTAAGTACACAAAAAATATTTCCAAGTGGCTGAGTAGTTTTAGCATCAACAGGCCCATGCAACGCTAGTGTGTATTTTCAACAAGGTTTTCTGGGATTCTGTTTTCTTAATTGTATATAGTATAGAAGCTGTCTCCTAGTGTGTTGCCTATCTTAATTCCATATATGTATATTTTACACCCTGCTGTGTTATACAGGAACTAGCTTTACAGTCTTTTGTTAACTCAGGGGTGAAAGAGTTAATTGAGCATCAGCTTGCCTTGGATCCATATTGGCTGTCAGCGTATGGACTGTAATTAAACACAGCCCCATGGCAAAGTGACACCACCGACCTTGACTTTAAGATGCCATTTTCGACTGGCCAGGCCAGAGTAGAGAGGGCAGTTGCTGAAGCGCACAGACATGCTTATTCGAAAAGTTTAAGGGCATGTTGGAAATTTCAAAAGGTTGGTTTGACAGGAAAGGCCGCTGTCTGCAGCCTGCCTCCTCAGCCAAATGATAAATGCTTCTCTGTGCTCTCTCTTGTCTCTGATGTGGTTTTGACAGATGTATCTTGATTTTGTTTGCGGTTTACACAACCACATGTCACCCGTACAAATGTCCAAGACCGAATTCTGTTTTGCACAACAAACAATATAAAAATGTAATTTAAAAAAGTAAATAATGTCATTCCCCATGATAATTTTTTAATCGGAAAGACCTTAAATATGTGACTGTCTCAGTGGCTGAGGTTAAAATAATTGAACCTAATATGAAAAAGAAAATCAGAGAAATACTAGAAGGCTAACAAGGCATAGTTAGTTTCTAAAATCCTTATAGTAAATCTGAACACCACCCATTGCTTGGTATTGAAAATCACATTAAATTATGCTTAAAATATAATTATAAATATGTAGTACTGTAGCATATTAAAATCAACCAATGCCTGATCTACTTTTATGGAAACATCAGTTAGGATAAGGCATCACTTATACCTCTATTTTAATAGCCTAAAGGATAGTTCAGTATTAGCAAAAGTACTGTATGTAATCACGTGATATACTGGATCTTTTCTTTGACTTACCATGGCCACACAGTTCAACCATAATAGGTCAGTAGGCACTGCAGGATTTAATGTGATATTTTTTTCCTCCAACCAATCATTAAAATCAAATGTGGCATTTATTTTTTTTTGAAAACTTTGCAGTAATAATATATATATATATATATATATATATATATACACACACACACACACACATATATATAGTAGGTACT